TTGATATGGCACTTCACTTGGTTGACACTCATTACTGTACCGTCCAGCAGTACAGAATCATCAACGAAATCAACACTATGAGATTATGTCCCACCTCCTTGGCTCGCTTATGAAAACTGTGAAATGGCTTGTTTTCATCATGAGTCTTGACATGCTTTACAAGAGGATCATCAGAGAAATAAATGTGTGCAAAAGTGCACAAAACAATTCTATCATGAAGAGCCACAACATTAATCAAACCATGCCCTCCCTTAATGATTGGTAAATATAAGCGATTGAGGGAAGAGCAAGGGTGGTGGGATCTTTTGTCTGATTCTACACGTCAGGGTGTCAATACCTTGAATTTCAATCCAACAGTGATTATTTACACCAAAAGAATATGAAAGGATGTGTACAGCTTAAGTACTTGTGGCTTTAACTTTATTGCTAGAGTATTATTATTATTATTATTATTATTATAAGTAGTAGTAGTAGTAGTAAGAGTAGTAGTAGTAGTATCCATATTCTCATTATGTTATTAAACATGTCATTTTTATCAGTTTTTGCACTCATTAGAGTTGTTATCATTATCAATTTCATTTATCATTTAATTATCAACATTCTCACCTATTATCTTCATTAAACATTAGGACCACCTCCATGGTCTAGTAGATAGGTTGGGGGTTTGATCCACTGCCTCTTCATACCAAAAGTCTTTAAAAGATGGTACTTGTTGTTACTCTGCCTGGTGCTCAGCTAAAATGGACTGGTCGGTTTGGAGTCAGTATAGTGTGTCTGAGTGGGGCATACATGTTAAACTGCGGCATGGTATCTCAGTGAGCTAGCACTATGAAATCAGCATTAGTCTGGACAAGTACAAGTAGCCACTCACACACACACACACACACACACACACACACACACACACACACACACACACACATGCACTTTGCTATATAATAAGTACAATAATACTGAACACTACCTAATACCCTATTTCACCTCACCTTACCGTCTTCTCCTAAAACATTATCATCATCATTATTCATCATTGTATTTATCAACTTCCTCACCAAGGAGAAGCAGTGGGGAAGCCTAGTGGTTAAAATATTTGTTCATGACGCCGAAGGCCCAGGTTTGATTCCCCACATGGGTACAATGTTTGCTGGCATCACCCGCAGTGATATTGCTGGAATGTTGCTGAAAGTGGTTTAGCCATACTCACTCACTCACCAAGGAACATCATTATCATCAACATCATTATTATTATCACTGTAATCATCAATGTCCTCATGCATCATTTTTTTATTTTTCAAGATCATCCTCATCATAATCATCCTCTCTCATCATCTTCAATATTATCATAACTACCCATCCTCATAGTCAGTTTGGCAACCAGTACAACCATCTTTATCACAACCCATGTAATAAACATCCTCATCATAATCATCCTACTTCTCCAACAACTGACAACATACAGCCAAGACGTTTCTCCACAATGATCCTGTCATTAACTATGCATAAGTAGCTTGGAATAGAAACGACATCTGCTCTCAAACATACAGTGAGCTTTGTTTAATGGCTGCCAAGCATGCACCAGCAAGGCGTTACTGGTACCATGTTAAGAAAGACAGCATGTTTTATTGGTCTAACAGACACGCTAATGTTACAGTTGTCCCTCGTCCTGATGCCATGGTTGCATCGCCTGCATGTCATGTGACACTGTGTACTTAATGAGGAAATCGGGGATATGCTGTCTGTCGCTTGAGTATGTCATATGGTCTTCCAGGTCATTGACCTTGTAGGCGAATGGCAAGATGGCACCATGGACCCTCGTTGACGAGCCATTGTTTGGATTGGAAGCTATAAGATGTGGGTTGAGATATGCTTAGTATGCTTGAAAAGATATGTTGTTCAATAATTCAGCTGGATACAGTAGCATAATATTATCATTAAACAGGGATTGTTGTAGGTAGAATGTTGGGTGTTGGTGCAATAACACTGATTTCTAATTTGGTAAAGAGAGATCTGTACTCAGTTTGTGTGAAAACTTGGAATGAGAGTTGTGATGGAAATAGAGTTTATGGATTTTATGCAGATTAAATTCAGTTTGTTGTTGATCACTTGGTAATAATTATGAATATAACGCTTTTACAGCTGTTACACTTCATTACAGTAATGTTTCAAACAATTATTCACAAAGTCAGCTGATATTGTATCTGGAGGCATGCTTTTGAATAGTCCCATTGCTCTAATGATCTGGGTTTGATTCCCACATGGGTACGATGTGTGAAACCCATTTTCAGCGTCCCTCGCTTTGTGATATGGCTGGAATATTGCTTAAAGTGCAATTATGTGTGTTTGTTTTATGTTGTGTAACGTCGCACTCAGCAATATTCCAGCTATATGACGGCGGCCTGTAAATAATCAAGTCTGGACCAGACAATCCAGTGATTGACATCATGAGCATCGATCCACGCAATTAAGATACAATGACATGCATCAACCAAGTCAGCAAGCCTGACCACCCGATTCTGTTAGCCGCTTCTTATGACAAGCATTGACGCCTTTTACACCATGCATAGGTTGCTGAAGACCTATTCTACTCTGCATCTTTACGGATCTTCAAGGAGACAAACAGAAATCATATCTTTTTTTACAAAAATGTATGATGATGCATATTATAGAAAGACAGTGATAAATGCGGGGTCAACTGGACAAACATGAAATGAACATATGAATGTGCTTAAGATGAACAGTATGATCACTCAAACTAACCCAGGTTCCAGGCATGGCTATCATCAATCTCAGTGAAAAGGAAAGGGCAGGCAAAACTGGTTATTTCTACTCATTGTGTCATGACCAAGATTGATTAATTATATTTCTTCTATTGGCAAACTTAAATTCCAAAGGGCACACTTAAAATCTGTGACTGCCCTCTGCACACTGAGAACAAGGACCGTATTTGATGTAATAAGCGCCCAAGGCGCTCTCAAAATTAGAAATAGGGGGCTCTTATTAGAATATAATTTTGGTGAGGAAAAAACAGAGTTGAAAGATTGTAAATTTCGTGGTTTATGCTGACAGCCTGAAATGATACAAAAGAAAAGTGTTATACACGATAGATATATTTTCCAGAATTTAATTGCCCATATTTAAGGGTGCATATAACACACGAGTGCGTAGTATACACAAATAAATAAGTCTTGTGTACATTGATTATTCGGAGGGGTGATAATTGAGATTGTTCACTAGCCAATATATTAGCAAATATCGCAGTGGGCGCTTATTAGAGCGGGGCGTTTTGCGTCGAATACAGTATGTTTCCATCATGCCTTTACTTTCACTTCCATTTATGAATCACTAAAACCCATTCAGCTGACCAACAATTAATGTAAGTAAAATGAAGTGGGTGCAGTGCCTAGGGTTGCAGTAGAAAGCAAATCTAGCTGTCTAGTGCAACCTTATATAACATCGTATAGTTGCACATGTATTCCGGGCACAATGCATGTAGAAAAGAGATTTTATAAATCTATTTGATTCACTTGTTCAAATATGCCATGAATTATGTGTTAACTTAACACAAGTACAGTACAGTGAACCTTCACTGGGAATACAATATATTGTCAAAATGAACTACAAACCTGACAAGACCATTTTAACCATACTATTGATGGTTGCAATATCCATATGTAAAAGCATTAATTATATAACAAACGAGAGCATAAAAGAATGAACTATACTCAACCACAAAAGATACATCACTTCATCAAAATACTTCATGAAATTTCCCACTGAAATATCAATGCATTTTTTGGAAGTATCTCGTTTTTGACATTAGTCTGTATCCAAATTTAATAGGCACGCTTTCGGGACTTTGTACCATGGTAACAAGGTCATTTGTTATGCTGCGTTTTAGCAACCCATTATACCCATATTTGTGTGACTTTTTGGCCATTAACATTAAATTTGGATGCAGACTAATGTCAAAAACGAGATACCTAAAAGAAAAGTATTGATATTTCAAAGGGAAAATTTCATGAATTATTTTCATGAAGTGATGTTTCTTTTGCAGTTCAGTATATATACCAGGCTCAGTCTTTATCTTATGATTGCAACACAAAAATGAACTACAAACCAGACTAAACCTATATGTCATAGCTGCAATACTAAAATGAACAATATACCCAACTAAACCTTTATCTCATGGCTGCAATACTAAAATGAACAACATGCCAGACTAAACCTATATGTCATAGCTGCTAACTAAAATGAACAATATACCCAACTAAACCTTTATCTCATGGCTGCAATACTAAAATGAACAACATCCCAGACTAAACCTATATGTCATAGCTGCAATACTAAAATGAACAATATACCCAACTAAACCTTTATCTCATGGCTGCAATACTAAAATGAACAACATGCCAGACTAAACCTATATGTCATAGCTGCAATACTAAAATGAACAATATACCCAACTAAACCTTTATCTCATGGCTGCAATACTAAAATGAACAACATCCCAGACTAAACCTATATGTCATAGCTGCAATACTAAAATGAACAATATACCCAACTAAACCTTTATCTCATGGCTGCAATACTAAAATGAACAACATGCCGGACTAAACCTATATGTCATAGCTGCAATACTAAAATGAACAATATACCCAACTAAACCTTTATCTCATGGCTGCAATACTAAAATGAACAACATCCCAGACTAAACCTATATGTCATAGCTGCAATACTAAAATGAACAATATACCCAACTAAACCTTTATCTCATGGCTGCAATACTAAAATGAACAACATGCCAGACTAAACCTATATGTCATAGCTGCAATACTAAAATGAACTACATCCCAGACTAATCCTTTGTCTCATAACTGCAATACCGAAAAATACAAAACATACAAGTCTTAACCTTCATCTCATGAATGCAATACTACAATGAACTACAAGCCAGATTAAACCCTTGTCTCATTGCCTCAATACCAAAATGAACTACATACCAGAATGGACTTTTTGGCTGCACTACTCATGGCTGCAGTATCACGTTACTGTGATTTTGTGAGTTGGAAAGTGGCCAAAATGGATTGGTGTCTGTCTTCAGCAGTCTGTCTAATTGATCCTCTTCTTAGTAACTAGTACCTGCTATTTCAAACTGGCAGTCTCAACTCCAACATCAAATAATGGTCGCCCACCGAACAAACAGCATAACACAGGGAGTGCTGGATTCTGGTCATCACATAACAACTTCTCAATGTGCACACATAACACTTGAATATGATGGCAGAAAAACTGATGGTTTTTGTTTCACAAGATGAAGAGTTGATCTGTAATGTGAGAAATTGAAATAGATCAGCTGTTGTGATCGTAATGTAGTTCCTGTTGGTGCAAGTAGGTAACAGCAGTCGTCTGCAGTATTTTAGATGACAAGTGCGAGTGAGCGAGTCAGCAGTCTTGTCATCATTGTCTACATTTGTCAAGACCCAGAACTCAGAAGGAGACGTCTGTCTTCAGCAGGATTGCAGGTAGTTCAGACAGTTGTGACCAGACATAGTTTTGTGTGTCCTCGTACTGTACAATTTCTGCACTGATGATCATCACACATTTGATTGTGGAAGGAGATGATTCCAGTAATATTTCCACTGGCTGAATGCTCGCTAGTCCCACACACAAAGTCGTCGTGAAATACCAGTCCACAAGTACTCTAAACAAACTAATCTATGTAATGGGAGTAGATTATAGCCAGTTGCCTACAGCTTGGCAAAAGACAGTTGTCTTGTTCAATTTGTGGCAAATGTCAATTGTGCAATAGACAGTCTTCATATGCCTGTTATGCTCAGTTTTGGAGCAAGAGCATTAAAAGTGATCCTGACTTGAACTTGAGGATGATCAGTTCTTCAAGAATGCCCCCAGACATGGATATTTTTCCAGTTCTTGAAGGCCAGAGTTGTAGGTATGCTCTCCATGCAAGACTGACAGTTCACAGAAGAAAGAATACTGTGAAAATTGTATGTTTGGGCGTAGAGTCAATCAATCGTAGCTTCCAGTCGCCTTACCATCCTACCAGGGCCATCAATCGTAGCCTCAGTGTATTCTGCAAACTTGAATGGTCATAGATTTTCCATAAATGGTAAGAGAGGGCTTTTATCGACATATCATTCATTCAGCTATTGGCAAAGTCAGACTTGATTTGCAAGTATGTGAGTTGAGTAGTCATCCAACCATTGATTGCAGGATTTCACTTTCGAATGTAAAGTTTCCAGGAAGAAAAGCCGATAATTAAATGCACATTTTTCTGTTTCACTCTGCCCTGTCATGGAATGGTAAAGCAGGCATGGAGATAGTAGAGTCTACAGTGGGGTTTCAACAGTAACATGGCTTGGTCCAGACTCCACCATTCATAAGGGTCTGATGCGCATGAAACATCAATACTTGTTCTTCACTTGCTTTGAAGTCACATACACACATATAATGCTGTTATAGCAACATGATATTTTCATTGGAGAAAATGACATTCATTATCCACAAGCACATAGGAAAATCTCAGTAAACGAAGACAAATGTATCATGACAGAAGTGCAGAAGATGTGTTTCGACGTTGTACACTAGCCGAGTTGACCTACTTTGTGATTGAACCGAGGGATCTTTATTCAGCAAATCAATGAGGGAATTTGCGTCACTGGTCGATTCTGCTCATTCATAAAGATTGGAACCCATGTATTTGCCAGAAGAATCACAAAATCAGCTGAGACCTGAGTGAGGCTAAGAGGTCTCAGCCAATCAGATTTGATCAGGTTCCCAGGCATTGGATGTATTGAGTATAACCATGGCTTAATTTGTTTATGTCTTAGACTTGGCCGTGTTTACTTCTTATTGGTCCAAATTCTCCCAAATATCAAGGCTATTGCTGGCCTTTAGGCTATTGAAAGGCTCTATGTTATGCCCAGTTGGCATCAGTTTTGTAAGGTCAGTTGAGTCATGAATGAAATCATTGGAAGTGTCACTCTGAGTTCATGGCTTAAATAGGATTACACCACACACCTAACTGATTAAGAACTATAAAACAAGATCAAAGATTTAATTACATTTATTTGGACCACTCCTCCCTGTGCAAGAAGCAGTTTCTGTTCCTGGTTTGTTTTATAACAGCATTAATCATTGTGTGATACCCACAGCAGGATGGGGCTTTCAAAGGGTGGAAAGGGAAGAGTGCTTAAGCCAATGAGTCAATATTGATTTTTGATTAGGTGGATTCTTAATTGTATGAATCAGTGATTTCGGTATGAGCAGGTGAGACAAAGTGGAATGCTGCATGTTTGCACAGTGTTCCATTTGAGTCATTTTTGTTCAGTGTTTCCCTAACAAGCACTTCTTCTAATATGTTTTCCTTTGGCTTTAATCAGGGATGGGTTATTTGTGTATTGATTACACCACTGTCTAAATTATAGCATCTTTGCAAGTGTGTTTATGTTACCCTTCCACTGAACCTGTGATAAGCATATTTTCCATCCCAATGTATCAGATATTCTCTGTGTCTCCCATCCATCCCTCATATATATCAAATATTCTCTGTACATGTTTCTCCATGTATATCAACTATTCTCTGTGTCTGCATTAGAAATGGTAACCATATTTCCCATTCATCCCTCATATATATCAAATATTCTCTGTCTACATGAGATAAGGTAACCATATCGACCATCCATCCCTAGAATATATCAAATATTCTCTGTCTACATGAGATAAGGTAACCATATCGACCATCCATCCCTCATATATATATAATATTCTCTGTCTACATGAGATAAATCAACCATATCGACCCTCCATCCCTCATATATATCAAATATTCTCTGTCTACATGAGATAAGGTAACCATATCGACCATCCATCCCTAGAATATATCAAATATTCTCTGTCTACATGAGATAAAGTAACCATATCGACCATCCATCCCTCATATATATATAATATTCTCTGTCTACATGAGATAAAGTAACCATATCGACCCTCCATCCCTCATATATATATAATATTCTCTGTCTACATGAGATATGGTAAGCATATCGACCATCCATCCCTCATATATATATAATATTCTCTGTCTACATGAGATAAAGTAACCATATCGACCATCCATCCCTCATATATATATAATATTCTCCGTCTACATGAGATAAGGTAACCATATCGACCCTCCATCCCTCATATATATATAATATTCTCCGTCTACATGAGATAAGGTAACCATATCGACCCTCCATCCCTCATATATATCAAATATTCTCTGTCTACATGAGATAAGGTAACCATATCGACCATCCATCCCTCATATATATATAATATTCTCTGTCTACATGAGATATGGTAAGCATATCGACCATCCATCCCTCATATATATATAATATTCTCTGTCTACATGAGATAAATCAACCATATCGACCCTCCATCCCTCATATATATATAATATTCTCCGTCTACATGAGATAAGGTAACCATATCGACCCTCCATCCCTCATATATATCAAATATTCTCTGTCTACATGAGATAAGGTAACCATATCGACCATCCATCCCTCATATATATATAATATTCTCTGTCTACATGAGATATGGTAAGCATATCGACCATCCATCCCTCATATATATATGATATTCTCTGTCTACATGAGATAAGGTAACCATATCAACCATCCATCCCTCATATATATATAATATTCTCTGTCTACATGAGATAAGGTAACCATATCGACCATCCATCCATCATCTATATATAATATTCTCTGTCTACATGAGATAAGGTAACCATATCGACCATCCATCCCTCATATATATATAATATTCTCTGTCTACATGAGATAAGGTAACCATATTGACCATCCATCCCTCATATATATCAAATATTCTCTGTGTCTACATGAGATAAGGTAACCATATTGACCATTCATCCCTCATATATATCAAATACTTTCTGTCTAAATGAGATAAGGTAGCCATATTTTTTATGTATCCTTTGTATATATCAAATAGTCTCTGTGTCTACATGAGATAAGTAACCGTTTCTCCCATCCATCCCTCATATATGTCAAATATTCAATGTGTCTGGGGAGCGATAAGGCAACCATACATCCCATCCATTACTCATGTATCAATATGTACTGAATATCATGTGTGATATATAACAATCACCCCTCCAAAATAGGTATAGAAATTGGAGGTGGAAGAAGTAATGAGATGGTAAGTGAAGAAAAATTCTCTGAAAGCAGCAAAATTCCTTCCAAATCCTGAAAGGTTGATTGCACGTTTCCGACCGATCTTGAGCATGTGTATGAATCACTATGAAACCGTGATGATACCAGCTAGGTGATCATGACAAGTGAGCGTATCCTGCCCCACTAGTGGCACCTGTCACAGACACATGCAAAGTCAAGTCAATTGTTCACCTGAAAAAACATGGGAACATCTGGTTTTACAAGTCAAAATAGGGAATTGCACAGGACATCATTTTTGTCACTGGGACCACTAATTTTAATTCGTTGTAACCGTAGTTCGTTATAAGCAAATGTACGGAATATATACAGCAAATACACAGGACCCCAAAAATAGTTTATTATATCTGTCAGTTCGTTATAAGCGTGTTCGTTATAACCGTAGTTTACTGTAGCTGACTTTGAAAAGTCCACTTTCCACCCTTGCCGAACTAGGCTGGAATTCCTGGGCTCTATCATGGCACAACCAGGGGCGATTATGAGTTATGTTCCTTCTATGACCCTTCTGTTGACCAATCGGATTCCACCCCTTATATCCATTGCATTTTGCTTTAAACAAAATGACGGCACTGAGTCAAGGCTATCTCATCGATAATCAAAATCTATATTTTAGTAAAACGGGTCTTACTTCACAAAGTGCATCAAATCATGTGAGCATCTTGATAAATATCATGAAAAGATTTGAAAAATATCTGTTGATGCTGTATTGACGGTACACATGATGTGCAAATCCTGCAATCGACCAAAATCTGATGTTGATTTCGTTGCGCAATTTTGATTTGACTATGCATAGACTCTTTAGTCCAGATTAAATATAAATCTATAATTCCAGGCTAGTTCAGCAAGGGTGGGAACTTGACTTTCATTGTCAGTTAACTCCCTTGCCTCGGGAAGATGTAAATGTTGTAATCATGTTCAAACAAGAGCAAGAGTTGTATGACACTCTTTGAAATCATCGTAGATAGAGCATGCTCCGTTGTACCTCAAAAGTTGTGAAATGTCGACACCAAAGGCTGGATCTGCTGGAATATTGGCTGCCTATGTGCAGATGATGTAATGTTATATCGGTTTATGCCCCGAGTAGGATATTTTCCCTGCAGTGTTTCTCTGTACAATAAACAACCACCACAAGTCGTTATTTCTTATATGATATATCAACATCTTTAAGGATGTTCCTAAAATGTACAAGCTATAAAGATATTTAACTGTATTTAAATAATGATCACTCCCTGAATACAATCTGATCACGACAATGTCAGACAAGTCAATTTTATGAACAGTGGGGTTAAATTTGGTATTTACTTGATATTCTCACTATTTTCACATCGATTATCTTACCTGTTCTCCAAATACCGAGGCATGCACACCCCCCACATCCCAGCCCCATTATTTGGTACAAGTTTGGGGGGAAATACCTAGTTCCTATATTATGCATGGTCAAAAACTACTTCATGTAGCTTCTAGTGAACAAACAGGAGATAGAAACATTGGTCAATGAAAATGTGAATGTTGCAGTAAAAGATTACTTGATTTATAATGTCAGTTGTACTTCCTGTTATGCAGGGCTTTTTTATATGCAGAGATTAAGATTTTAAAGTGTAAATGTCTTTCAATATATGCCAACAATAGCAATCAGCTCTCCCACTTTTGGATGCGATCATAAGGTCACTGCGTTTATCTGCGTTGCTCCACTACCAGTACATCTATGGGGAACAACTCACTAGACACTTCTCTCAAATTTACGACATCATTAAGTTTCGAGCGCATTTTCAAATCTCCAGAAATGATGTCATGATAGAACAATGTTTTATCATGAAACAAACCATGTTTGATTCTTCATTGTTCTTGTTCTTTGCGATTAATAGCATAGCTAGCTTATGTAACATCATAAACAATAGAAGATATCATAACATAGTGTTTCTTACTATTGTAGCAATGTGATGGCATATCATAGCTTAAGCTTCCCCATAGCTATGAGGGAGGTATGTTTTGTAATCATCATTGAGTATGTTTTCATTCTCAATGGTTATCTTAAATCAGACCTTTAGTTCCATTGTTTTGACTGTTTGCAAAATTACCTTTGGTGATATCACTGCAGACTGTATGCGACATATAGTGTCGAAACAATATACTAAACTGATAAACTAAGGTTTGTTTCATGGTGTCAACAGCGGCAATATGATCGTGGTTGCTGTGGTTACGGGGAAAATGGAAGTTGTAAGTACCCGATGGACACCGAAATAATGTTAATATTATTGAATGAAAGTTTGATTAAAATTAATAAAATAGATAATGTAGATTACAAACATGAGTCCAGTCATACAATTAAACACTTTTTTATTACCAATGGTGTAACGACAGGCTTAACTTGCGTAATTCAATACAGATTTGTTGATATT